GTCTTAGGTTTAAGCTTAGATTTAAGCACACCCATAGACTATATTCTAACCATATGACAAGTTCTTGTGCACATACATGGACATTTTAAGACACCAAACATCACTATCTTGATGATTTGAAACTTTGGTGACGAAAATATATCTCGTGAAACCAAAACATTCTTACGACCTTCAGAAAAATTCTATGGCTTTCTTTTCAGATCAGCAGAAGAGATGTTTTCACTTTTTATCGCGATAGCGTTCACTGTGGAGAGCGTTCGTGCCATTCACTGGAGCTTTATGAACAACTATTACGGCTGTGATGAGAACTACGTTGTACCTGGCGCGAGCCGGAATCTGGTACATGCGCACCACAACTACACTCTCATCGAGAAAATAGTGAACCCGGAATTGCAACATAATATCTCTGTGGTAAGAAATATGAACTTTTAAATTTTTCTCATACGTTTCATAGACAGATACCTATAAATGAAATAACGGCAAAATTAATTCATTTCTATCCGAAAAATGCAAACTATAGAACTATACAAATTTCCACAAATTTTTTTCTCCAAGAAACGCGCCAATATTTTAGCCTAATTTTGTCGCGAAAATATTTTGAACCTAAATTTTCTATTCCAGGAGGCCGAGGGAAGCTTCCCATGTCACCGTGACACCTCCATTCTTTACATGCTGCTGATGTGCGGTACCTTATGGCTGGCAATGTTTCTATACAATTTCCGGAAGACGCCATACTTGACAAGGTCCAGAAGAGAGTGGCTTGCGGACTACGCTCTGCCAGCCTCCGTGCTCATTATGTCGTTTGCTGGCGCATATTGCTTCAGTGAAATCGATAGTAAGTTTTTCTTGAATTCAGATAGAAACAAGTTTCCAAAACGTGTTTTGGCGCTTAATTTATATTTGGGGTCCGTTGGAAAAAATTCCGATTTTTTTAGGAACATTTGTTAGTTAATGAAATTTAACCATTCAAAATATGTATAATTTCAGAAGACATGTTCAAAATGCGTCCAGAAGTGCAACTGTTGGCCATTCCGGCCATCTGGGAGCTATCTTGGCAAGGATTCTTTGTATGCTTTCTGCTCGGATTCTTCCTTTCTTTTCTCTTCTACATGGACCAGAATATCACTTCAGCCATTGTCAACAATCCACAGAACAAGTATTTCTTTTGCTTATTTTAAATTCGCAACCGCTTAGTCGAAAACCACTGGGTACCGAAAATTTTTAAATCCCAGGTGCTTACCATCTTGATCTAATCCTATAATATGCTTAGAAACATCTAAGTCTGTTGGGCTAAAATCATGCTTGACAGGTAAATAATCAAAGATTAGACGGCTGAAATCCACAGATTCGGGAAAACTATTAATTTTTTTGCAATCCTGAGCTATGCCATCTTTCAAATAAGCTATGGCTGACCTTCCGTTTTAGTCTGGAACCCGAGATCTAAAGTCCATCTTAACAATTCAAATATTGCATTATGAGAATTGTTGAAGAAATATTCATAATTTTCAGGCTAAAGAAAGGCAGTGCACAACATTTGGACCTTTTGGTGGTGGCAGTATTGAACATGTTTTTGTCACTATTTGGACTGCCTTGGATGCACGGCGCTTTGCCCCATTCACCGTTACATTTACGTGCCCTGGCCGATGTGGAGGAAAGAGTCGCGCAAGGACACGTCCATGAAGTGTAAGGATTCTTTGTGGATTCCAGCTTATTTTTATTGATTTTCAAGATCTAGAGATTTTTCGTTCTTGGAAGTTCACAGAAATTCAATAAGTGTTACACTGAAAAATAACTGAAACAAATTTTCAGGATAATGAACGTCCGAGAAACCCGGCTGGCCAGTCTAATTGCTCACGTTTTGATTTTAATGTCCACGTTTTTCCTGCTCCCGTTCCCTCTGCAATGGATTCCGACTTCGGTGCTCCACGGCCTTTTCCTCTATATGGCCTTCACTTCGCTCACTGGCAATGAAATGGTCGAACGGCTTCTGTTGCTAATAACGGAACAGGTAAATTTTTGTAACGGAGAAATTAGGAACGAATTTTGCATTCGTTTTCCTTTGATGTTTTTACCTGAAGAGTATACCTGAAGTATACCGAATTTCAAAATTAAGCAAACTTTTCCAAGTTCGATTTTTTCCGTTTTTGAGAAAACTTTCATCAAATGTTCCAAAATAAACTCATTAACCATCTTTAGCAAGCCTACCCGCCCACTCACTACATCCGCAGGGTACCTCAACGAAAAGTGCATTTATTCACTGGCTGCCAGCTGGTGCAACTCGTCATTCTCTGTGCCGTCGGATTCAGTCCTTATCCTGTAAGTCTTTTATGTTAGAAGATTTAAAAAAAGCAAAATTAGGAATCAGAAAAATGCGATATATTGTATTTCCTCTAATTATGCCCAACATCGTCATATAATAATCAACTATTGTGCCTGCGATTTTTTAAGCATATTTGTAAAAAGCAGAATTTCTTTTTGGGAACTGTTAAAAGTAAACATTTACCAAAAAGCTAAAAAAAAACATAAAAATTGTGACTGTGATTTGGAAAAGCAAAATATGTAAAATGCAAAGTTTTTTCGGAACTCTAAAATGATTATTTAAAATTTTAATTGTTTCACAGTATTGAACTCATAAACTTTAGTTCGTCGAAATGGTGTTTCCAATCGTCTGTTTCTGCTTCTTGCCCATACGGTTTGTTACCTTTTTTATACAATGCCAAAAACAACTTATAATTTGTCCAAATTTCAGGCACATGCTGATACCTCGACTCATCGACTACAAGTATCTGGACGCTTTAGACGGACGGCACTAACAGCACTCCTCTCAATTTCCGAAGAATTCTTTCTTTTTCTAGTCTCGCAGTTGAAATTAGTTAAAAGAGCTTAAGATTCTATCTATCCGGTTTCTTGTGAAGAAAATTTCCCGTGTATATAAAATTATACGTGTCAAATGCAAAAATGTTTCAATTTGAAATGCGGTATACTTTTTTAATTGCAATTTTTGATACTTTTTGTGAAATTGCCGTAAAAATGAAATTTTTTGATGCCCTGTGGGTATGCCAACCGCGTACATTCCGAGCAGAGCCATAACTCGAATGTACAATAAACTGAAGAATATAAGACTTTTAGGGTTCATTGATCGATTATATTAGTTAAATGTAACCGTTTTATTAATTTTTTGGAAAATTTTTTATAAGACCTAAAAATTCTAAAATAAACCTAAATTCGGAATGTGATGAAAAAATGTAGTTTTTTAATTTTGTGGAAAAATTTTGTTATTGAATTTTAAAAAGGCAAAATTGCGCATTCGACTTGAAACATATATCGCAACATTTCCGTGTTACTTATCTAAAAGATAAAACCTTTCTCAGCTATTTGTGTCTAGTCTTCTTTTTATTTCTCTGTACTATCTCTTCCCCCACATATTGTTATTTGAAATTGTTGAGAGGTTCGCCTCAGAAGATTTATCAGAAATTCTATATAGAATTTTTCCTTTGGAGATTTATGCGAATGCAACTTGTAATAATTTAAAACGGGATTTGATGAATAAATGAATTATAATATACGTGACAAAAAACAATGACAACAAACAAAAAAAATGTCAACATAACCTATGAGTGTTATGTGCCGTTTTTTTCTCTGTCCAATGATGAATGGCTTTAATATTTATGAGTACCTGAGCCAGATACTTTTATGAGTTTCATCTATGAAAACCTTTGTTATTCTATATTTGATTGTGCAATATTGTAGAATAGCTTGAGCAGTAATAACTACCTTTTACAAAAAAAATGTTTCGTCAGGTGTTGCTGAGATATGCCTATTATTTAAAGGAAAGACACCGCTATAAAACTAGAAATTTTTTATTTTTGTCAATTTTTCGGTTTATGTCTATTTTGTTATTCTATCTTGTTTTGTTATACTTCAAGCGGTTATATTTTGCAGAACATGAAAGCAAATTTTGTAGCAGTAAGCAAAGTTTATTTTTTTTATTGGATTGAACTTTTATGGGGTAGGACTGTGTTGTACGTACTATATGCTCTAAGTTTCCGCACATTCCAAGGGGGAGGTCGTGCGCATGACGGCTATGGGTAAAAACGGTCTCGTCAAAAACGGTCTCAAGAGTCCTTTTTTGGCATAACTAAGCTCAATCTTAAGCTTAAACTTTGAGTAATGGCTCAAATTAAAGCTTATGCTTGGGCCTGCAAAATGAGCTATCACTGATATCTTACACTTAAGGTTTAGTTGAGTTTTGACCAAATATGGTCTTGAAATTGAAAAATTGGGATTTAGTCACCATATTTGGTCAAAACTGAAATAAAAATTAAGCATAAGATATAAGTGATAGCTCATTTTGCAGGCCCAAGCATAAGCTTTAATTTGAGCCATTACTCAAAGTTTAAGCTTAAGTTTGAGCTTAGTTATGCCAAAAAAGGACTCCTGAGACCGTTTTTACCCATAGCCCGCTTAACTGGCTCGCCACCTGCAGTGGCTCGCAATGTTTATGGGGTAAGAGAATAAGCACTGGTAAGAATGACCCCTAAATTTGACGGCACAGACTCACACTACTACAATAATAGGTCGAAGATTAACATTTTGGATGTATTTCATTTGAGCCACTTTAATTTAATATTTTACCCTATAAAAAATTTATGGTTGAAAATGTATTAGAAGGTCGTTGGGGGGAAAAAGCGTGTTTCTTCTTCTTTTCCCGCTCGTTTCCAGGATTATGCGCCTACAACACTCAACGCACACAAGGAACCGCCATTGAACCGAAACCTTCTTATTAAACAGAAGTGACGAAAATATTCTGATTTGCTGCGATGAAACAGCTTTGAGTCATATCAGTTTCGTTTTCAACTTATATTGGCTTGGAAGAGATCGCTGTAGGACCACTTTGTGTTCAAGCACTTTTTATTGAAAGTGCCATATTCGCAATTTTTTGAATAATTCGCAATAATTGAGAAAATATAAGTACTGCTTCTCGAACATGAGCAGTATGTGCAGCTATGGCCGAGCGATTAAGGCGACAGACTAGAAATCTGTTGGGGGTAACCCCGCGTAGGTTTGAATCCTGCTGGCTGCGAAATTTTTTGTTTCGTTCAACATCTCCGTTTGCGCGGTTTATACGGAGAAAATTATTTCGCCAACCGTTTTTTTCGCCAACTCCCTTTAAAACTGATTTTTCGCCAACTCCATAGTTTGCCGGCCAACAATCCACGAAAAAATATGTTCCAAATATTTACGTCTCCGACATTCCAATAATTACAAAATTGTTACAAAAAAGAACAAAAGTAGAAAATTACACAATTGTTATTAAAAATTAATAAAGATCTCAAAGTTTTAAAGAAGAAAAAAATATTCGCGGCCAGTAGGATTCAAACCTACGCGGGGTTACCCCCAACAGATTTCGAGTCTGTCGCCTTAATCACTCGGCCATGACCGCGCATATTTCGGAGAGCGGAGGGCATGGTCAAATATGTTCCGAATAATTTTTGTTTTATGCATTTTTCGATTGAGTTGGCATTCGCCTGCAAAAACTGAGTAAATATGGACGTGCTTAAATCTGGGCTTGATATTGACTTTCAGTTAATTTAGTTTGGAAAGCAATTGCCTGTTTGACTGAATGGCCTGCCAATCGAACAACACTCAATGTTTGGCGTAGTGAACCAGTCTCAAAATTTGAAAAAACATTTAAATAAAAAAATGCAGTGAACTAGGTTATTTAAGAGCTGAGTTATTTAACGGGAATAAGTGTCTATAAACGCTATTTTTCGGTATAATGCGTCTGTCAATTTTTACTAAAAAAACTAGCGTATTAATGTTTTTGCTTATCTTATAACCATCTGCAGTGTTTTTCTTAAAGGAGTGGTATCACATAGTGCGAAAAAAACTGGGTTCTGTACCTTCGTTTATACCATACCCTGGGCGGGGATGGTTTGGACATTGTGCGGTTACTTTTTTGTGCTGAGTAAGAATCTGCAAAAATTTCCTGGATATCGTGTGATCAAAATCACGTGATTTTGATAGAATTTGAAACCAAATTTTCCATATTTTTTCGTAACATAGGAACCTGAAAAAAAATACGTATACCTCAACTTTTTGTGAAGGTTCTAACACCCTGAGCAAAAATTACGGATAATGTGAAAAAACTAAATTGGTCTCGCTCTTTTGAAATGCTTTGGTAAAAAGAGTAAAATTCAGGCATTTTTACTCAGAAAACGGGGCCTGAAAATTTTTTACGCATATCTACTTTTCAGTTCTCTATCGAATAGAAACAAGAAAATAATAGGTTTCCTATGACAAAAAGGCTTTTACAGACCTTTTTTGAAATGCACTTTGACCGGGAAAAGTTCACGAGTGTGTTGCAAAAATCGGTCGTAACTTGATATCCTGACATGATATCCAGGAAATTTTTGCAGATTCTTACTCAGCACAAAAAAGTAACCGCACAATGTCCAAACCATCCCCGCCCAGGGTATGGTATAAACGGAGTTACAGAATCCCAGTTTTTTTCGCACTATGTGATACCACTCCTTTAAGTTTACTTAAAATACACGTCTAGCAGTTTTCCCAACAGATTGTGAATTTTCCACCAGAAAATTTCCTGTATGCTTTAGTCTATTTTTATAAAGGTAAATCGAGGACAAGCCCTACCCTTCCCGGCTTTTAATCGACCCGATTAAATTGACTCGATCTTGACTTTATAACTTTTATAATATCTTTTTTTATTTCTTTCTTCCAGGATGAACGAACCGCTAAAGTTTTTCAAAGTCGTCGACGCAACAATCTATAAGGATGGCTTCTCGTATTCATTCTATCGCGATATCGATCCTCCAAAGTCAAGTGCCGGTCTTCAATTGCAACAGTCATTTCATTGTGCATTCCGAACTGAAGAAGTGAACTGCCGAAGCCGAATTCACGTCACCGGAAACTGGCAAATGGACAAGAAAGGAAGAAAATTCATGCTGGGAATTGTCAAGAAAGGCGACCACACGCATGGGCCGGAGTACAGGGGTGAGCTTATAGCTTTCTTATGAGTCTATTTTATACATACCGTATTTTCTCTAATATAAGCCCCCCCCTATAATAGAAGCCCCCCTATAATAGACGCCCCCTAGAGAAAGAGAAACAGTGTGTAAAAATGAGAGGTTAGAGAAAAATTTTGCCCAAATTTGGGGGATTGAAATAATATAAGCCCCGGGGCTTATATTAGAGAAAATACGGTATCTTATCTCTCCCAATATGAGTATCAGTATTAGAATAGTTTAAGTTAATTTTTTCTTATATTTGTTAGCTTGTTTCCAATATTTACATGTACCCTTTCGATTCAATGTTTTTATGTAGTATGGTCGAAGTGGTCGTAGAAGTTATGCATTTTATGATTAGCTGCAACTGTGGCAAAGGCGCGAATTTGAACATTGTTTTTGTAGAAGATGCCGCTCTAGGAAGGGGCTAGTCCAAATCTGAGATTGCAGTGGATAAAGCTTAAAAAGTTGGCATATAGTAGTCATGATCAGATTTTGTATCCAGTATGAAAAATCTAGAAAAATTGAGATTAAAATTTTCTTAGTAAAATTTTAAACTCAATTTTTCTCGAAATTTTTCATACTTGAATCTGATCATGACCACTATATGCCAACTTTTTAAGCTTTATCCACTGGCAATCTCAGATTTGGACTAGCCCCCTCCTAGTCTCCCCCAAAAAATAACGTTCAAATTTCCGCCAAAGATTACTGTAGCGCCAAAGCGTTGTGAGAGTCAATCAGGTAAAATGCATAACTTCTACGACCACTTCGCCCATATATCCCAGGACGCTTTGTTTATTTTTGTCTTTTTTGTTTCCAAATTCAAATGTACTGAAGGCTGTTATATACCAAATCAAAACTGAGATTCTAAGCTTACATTTGGTATATAATTTTCTTTCGGCACATTTGACTTTGGCGTTAAATGGCAAAAATAAACAGTGTCTTCACAAAATCAGGCGGAATTTATTCTGGAGCACCCTGTAGATACCACAAATTTATACAGAATGTCGCTGAAAAATACAATTTTGCCACATGAAATACTCAAAAATGTTTTGTCAATTTAGTCGTTCATTTCAGACACTATTCCAAAGTTGAGATTCTACAAAAGCGACGACGACGGAAGGCTCCACCGCAATGGCTTCGATTATTCGCTCTATCGAGATTTGGATCCACCAAAGCAGATCGCAGATTCCAAATGGCATCAGACTTACCGCTGTTCGATGAGCGTCAATGGGCAGGAAAATTGTCGAGCCAGGATTTATACCACGGGCCAGTGGGAAGTGAACAAACGCGATTTGGAGTATCAGTTGGGCATATTCAAGAATTGCTTTCACAATCACGCATTATATCAGGTTGGTTTGAAAAAAGTGATTTTAAGTCAGCTAGGATCCTTGTAGAAAAACTGATAATCTTTATACAGTATAGTCTATATAACGGAGGTCTCGGAACCGGAAAAATCGCCGTTATATATAGAGAACCGTTATATAGATGCTCGACTGTATCATAAACTTTTATAGGGCTCAAATGAAGAAGATAAGGAAAACACCGACGAAATTGTGGCACCTGCATCCTCCACGGCTCACACTAAGGATCTCGGTAAGTTCAAATGTTGAATTTCCTTTACCCGTTTCATTTTTGGATCCAATTTTACGGAGATCCCGAAATACATTAACAATTTTTGATAGTCGAATTTATTATTTATAATAATTATAACCACCAAAACCATCTTCTAGGAAAATACTAAAAGATTATTATTCAAATGTTTTAGAAAAGAAGGAACAAATACGATTCTACAAATTCAAAGAGACGTGCGTGCAACACAACGGATTTGTTTACAGCCAGCATGGAGGTGTAGTATACCACCCGCTATGGAGATGTCGAATGGAATGTCGGAGGAAAATTAATGGCAAACAAACTTGTCCTGGATACATATGGACCACTGGGAAGTGGCAAGAAGACGAACGTGGAAGAGAATTCCAAATTGGGATTATCATGAATGGACACCATCACGAGCCACATCAGGTTCATTTTCAAAGCAATAATTTTGTAAAGGTTATGGATCTCACCTAATAAACGGGCGTTTGGCGCACTGAAATAGACGTTTTCTCTTGACTAATCAGTCTTACGATCATGTCCACTTAAAAGAACTTCCATTTATCGACAATGCAGACTAATTAGTACAGATAAATGAGAAATATGCTTGAGTGTTCTTTCAATACCAGCATTTGAATTGGATCTGCAACTTTGGAGGCACATAACTTAGGTATTAGGCTAGGCTAGGGTTTACACTTAAGCCTAGGATTAAGCGTAAGTGTGCATAAAAGGGGGTTCCAAAGAGGGGGCGGGTGTCGTTGGGATGAGAGGAAGCGTTTTTCTCCAAAATTTAATGTTAATCTTTATTTAAAATTCCTAAAGTACGAAAAATAAATGTGCAGTTTATTATTTTGTGTGACTTAATGTTGCTTTCAGATTGCATTTCAAGGAAAAGATAACGAATATGAGAGTAAACTTTGATTTAATTGCAGTTAGCAGTATATTACCATGATTTTAGGCCCAGAGGCGGGGTTGAAATTCTATAAATATATAAACAACATGGTTCATCGCGACGGATTTACATACTTTGTCGATGCAAAATTGAAAAGTCGTCCACCATGGAAACAACGGATGAGGTGCATGCGGAGAGCCGAAAAGGTGCTTTGCAAAGGTTCTATATGGACTACGGGTAAATGGGAGACTGACAATCGTGGAAGGCTTCATCAACGTGGTATCCTAAGAGGAGGTCATTCCCACGATGCGTATGAGGTTGGCCATTTTCATGTTTATAACTCGTTTTTTACTATTGAATTCGAATAGTCTGCTTGTAGCAAATTTTATGTTTCAGCAATTACTCAATGAAGATGCTGCAACTTTCGTCGGAAATGGATGTCCTATGGATGGGAAGGTTGGTGATATTTTGATAATGACTTTAGATTTTAAATTTATCATTTTCAGCAATCCTTGGATGGCGATGACGTAGTGAAGGCTGAGTATGAGATGACGTAGTCGAAGGCTGAGAATC